GGTTGTTGTTGATTTTATTCTAGTTTAGATCTTGACAATTGGTTTTAGAACCTAGCTTCAGCGACCTGTGCGTGAAGATCTATAACGGTGGATGGTACTAGATTCAAATCCATGGACGATCGACTGAATCGACATGAAGATACGATGGAAATGTTAGCTAATAGTAATCGTGAGATCAGTGAAACACAAGTGGAAATCAGATGAGCTTTAGAACAAATTGTGGAAAGGTTAACTGCATAGAAAGGAGACTAGTAGCTGCTGATCTGAACATTCCTCAAGGGGATGGCATTTTACCCATTCCAGGACAAGAACATAGGAATTTGAGGCACCAGAGAGTTCTCATCCACCCTCCTAAGTGGGAATTGCCCAGTTTCGAAGGTCACTAGCCTAAGGTATGGCTCAGAAAGTGCGAAAGGTACTTTAATTTACATAGAATTGCTGACAACTTGAAGGTTGAAGCAGCAACACTCTATCTTAATGGAATGGCTGAAACATGGTATAACTCTATGGTACTAAGTGTAGGGGTATTAACCTGGGTAGAGATCAAAGAAAAATTATGTATTAGGTTTGGAGAAATTTTAATGGAGGATGTTTTGGAAGTCTTTAACAAGTTGAATCATACTAGATCTGTAGATGAATATTTGGGAAAGTTTGAGGATCTCAAAGCAGAGATGTTGATAAGAAATCCGGTCTTGAATGAAGCTCATTTCATATCTAGTTTCATGGGAGGACTCAAAAAGGAGATCAAGTATGTTATTAAGATGTTTAAGCTCATTACCCTCAGCTTTGCAATTGAACAAGCCAGGATGCAAGAAAAGGCCATAGAAGCAGCTCTTAAGAAGGACAAAACTGATACTAGACCTATCAAGGCTCATGTGAGTAGTTTTACCCCAAAACCATCAGTTATGACTTCCACTAGACCAACCACTTACCGGTTGAGTCCAGAAGTTTACGAATATAGGAAGAACAACCATCTTTGTTTCAGGTGTGGAGATAAGTATACTCCAAGGCATAAATGTAAGAATAGACAGTTGAATTGCATAAAGGGAATCACTGAAGATGGGCAAGCGGCTTGGGCAACACCTACTGAAACTAGTAAAATAATAAAGGAGCAAGCCCTAACTGATATGATAATTGAAGGAGAAATCCAACAGGAGATGCAAGAGGCTATTTGTCTGAGTGCCTTGTCTGGCAATCACAATGGGGTGAATACCATTTTAGTAAAGGGAATAGCTAAGAATAGGAATCTAACTGTGATGGTTGATTCAGGAAGCACTCATAGCTTTATTGATTCATAAGTTGTGATGGAAACAAGTTATGTAGAAACTTATAGCTCTCATATGAGAGTCATTGTTGCTGATAGTAACTATTTGTTATGTAATTCTACTTGTACGAGTTTCAGCTGGAAGATGGAAGGGAAATCATTCAGAGAAGATCTAAGGATTATCAGATTGGGAGTGTGTGATATAGTCCTAGGGAATGACTGGATGAAAAAATACAACCCCACCAAGTTTGACCTTGAGAAGAGGAGTGTCACTATTGGAAAAAAGACCAATAAAGTAGTGTTGCATGTTATTCCTGAAGAGGGAAGTATTCACATGATTAGCAGTGGTACGATGGGAAAACTGATTAGAAAGTATCAGACTTGGACACAACTACTGAGCAGGAAACCATTGAAAAACCAATAAAAGTGGTACTGCAACAATTTGAAGATGTCTTTGCCGAACCTAAAGGTTTACCACCAGTGAGGAGTTTAGATCACTCAATTTCGTTGAAGCCGAGATCATTGCCTGTTATCTTAAGGCCTTTCATGTACAATTACTTTCAAAAAGAGGAGCTGGAGAAACAAGTGAAGGATATGTTGTCACATGGTACTATTCAGCCCAGTCAGTCGCCTTTTTCTTCATCTGCATTGCTAGTGAAAAAAGAAGAATGGGACTTGGAGGTTCTGCGTAGACTATAGAGGGTTGAATGAGGCTACAGTGAAAGACAAGTATCCCATACCCATTGTAGATGACCTATTGGATGAGTTACATGGTTCAACGATATTTTCGAAGGTGGATTTAAGAGCTGGTTACCATCAGATTAGAATGAAATATGATGATGTGTTTAAGACAGCATTCAGGACACATATGAGGCACTATGAGTTTCGAGTGATGCCATTTGGGCTTACTAATGCCCCAACCACATTTCAGGCTCCGATGAATCAAGGTATTTCAACCTTTTCTCCGAAAGTTTGTGGTAGTTTTTTTTATGATATCTTAATATATAGTCAGTCTCTTGCGGAACATGTGAAGCATGTTACTACTGTTTTTATGACATTGAGGGAACATTCACTTTTTGCTAAGAGATCCAAATGCTCGTTTGGTCAATCCAAGGTTGAATATCATGGTCATGTCATTAGTGCTCATGGGGTAGCTACTGATCCTGAAAAGGTAGCGGCTATGGTGCAGTGGCCCAGACCCTCTTCCTTGAGAGCTTTGAGGGGATTCTTAGGGCTGACGGGATACTATAGGAAGTATCTAGCCAATTATGGTACAATATGTAGACCACTTACTGATCTCCTAAAAGAAGGCAGTTTTAAGTGGAGTGATGAGGTTGAAACTACTTTCTTGGCTCTGAAGGACGCTATGTCTAACACCCCAGTACTTGACCTACCTGATTATTCTCAAGAATTTGTAGTTGAAACAGATGCAAGTCACTCAGGAATTGGTGCAGTTCTTATGCAAAAAGGGAAGCCAGTGGCCTATTTCAGCAAAGTATTGGCTATGAAGCATAGGGGCAGGTCTATTTATGAGAAGGAGTACATGGCATTGCTTAGTGCTATAGACAAGTGGAGGCACTACTTACAATATAGACACTTTGTGGTAAGAACTGATCACCATAGCCTGAAATACTTGCTTGATCAGAGAGTTACTTCAGCTATCCAGCAAAAGGGGCTTACCAAGTTGTTAGGCTTAGACTATGAAGTTAAGTTCAAGAGAGGGGCTGAGAACCGAGTTGTTGATGCTCTTTCCAAACAATTTGAAGGGGTGCGAGAAGAAGAAACAATTTCTTTGCATGCTAAATTACAAGCTATCAACTCATCGGTTCCAACTTGGGTGCAAGACATCACAACCAGTTATGAAGGTGACACGTTTGCTTTCGATCTTATTACTCAGTTGGTGGTAGACTTACAAGGTCCTAATCTGTGGCACTATCAATCTGGGATCTTGCAGAAGAAAGGAAAAATCTATGTAGGATCTATTGGCACACTAAGACAACAACTACTACATGTTGTTCATAGCTCACCATTAGGGGGTCATTCCAGTCAGTTAGGAACACTTAAGAGGTTATTCGAGGTGTTTTATTGGCCTCTTATGAAACAGATGGTAATCAATTATATTGCAAAATGTGATATCTGTCAGAGGAGAAAGGATGAGGCTATAGCATATCCTGGTCTTCTTCAACCACTTCCTATTCCCAACCAAGCATGGACTCATATTAGTATGGAGTTTATAGAGAGGTTGCCTAAGTCTCAAGGAAAGGATGTCATTTTGGTGGTAGTTGACAGGTTCGCAAAATCAGCACATTTCATAGCCCCATCTCATCCTTATACTGCAACTATTGTGGCTGATAAGTTTGGAAGAGGGTACAGACTTTACATGGTACCCCCTACTTCTATAGTCACTGATAGAGACAATGTGTTTCTTAGCAATTTTTGGCAAGCTTTGTTCAAACTAAAGGGGGTTCAATTGTCCTATAACTCTGCTTACTACCCGCAAACAGACGGCCAAACAGAAAGGGTGAACAGGTGTATTGAAACTTATTTGAGGTGTATGACTAGCAGCAGACCTACTAATTGGAAGAGGTGGTTATATTTTGTTGAATGGTGGTACAACACTAACTTCTATAGTAGTCTACAATGCACCTTTTTTGAAGCCTTGTATGGTTATTCTCCACCTTAACTGTCTCTTGGGCCTCTCTTAGACACTGTGGTGCCTGCTGCTGAAGATGTGATTATGCACCGACAACAAATGCAACAATTATTAAAGGACAATCTCCATAAGGCTCAGGAGAGGATGAAGTATTTTGCTAATCATCGGAGAACTGAAAGGGAGTTCCAAGTTGGTGATACAGTGTATTTGAAGTTGCAACCCTATCGGCAAACTTCCTTAGCTATGAGGAAGAACCTTAAGTTGAGTTCAAAATATTATGGGCCTTATCTAGTAATCAACAGGATTGGACTAGTTGCTTACAAGTTAGCTCTTCCACCTTCTTCCAAGGTGCATCCTGTCTTTCATGTTTCACTTCTGAAGAAAAAGGTTGGTTCTAGAGTGGTGGTTCAATCAACCCTGCCCATGACTAATGTTGAAGGCCAATTCCTTGTCAAGCCTGTTGCCATTTTGCAGAGGCAGCTGGTACAGAGGGAAAATTCAGTTGCTATTAAACTCCTGATCCAATGGTCTAACTTACCTCCTGAAGATGCTACCTAGGAGGATTTTGACTTCATCAAGGCTAAGTTTCCAGAGTTCATAGCTAATCCTTGAGGACAAGGATTATTTGATGTCGTCGGGTATGTTATGCTTTCAAATAAAGAGCAAATAAAGTTTTGTAGTTATGAGGATTCGATATGGGGGGCGGACGAGTAATAACAATCCATTCAATAGACGGCTGCGATTGGAAGTTGTTTAATGAGCTTGAAGGGATACGATGTTGCCAGCTCAGACGAGGTGTTTATAAGTCTAACAACCAGGAGAGAAGAAGGCCAACGAATCAATTGGTATTTTTCTCGTTTCTTCTCTCTTTCTTCTTCTTCTCCCTCGGTCTAAATTCTTCTTCTTATCTTCTTCTGCAAATACGAAGCTCATCTACGGAATCCCAGTAGAGTAGTTCAATTCAGTACTCGTATTTCTATTCTTAGTTGTAATAGTTAGAAGTTTTACTAATATAAATCAGAAAATTATCCCAAAAAAGGTTGTTGTTGATTTTATTCTAGTTTAGATCTTGACATACAACAATCAAAAATTTCAAACCAATTAATGCAGCAGAAAAATACAAACTCTAAGATGCTTGTTGTTTCCTTCGTTTTATTCTTTCTAGCGCACCAAGAGGGCCATCACTATCTTTATTCTTGGCAGTAGAGTCGTCTTCTGCTTCATCACCTTCGTTGTCCCTCTTACGGATTAGACCTCCAAACACTGCATCTTTCAGTGCAATTTCAACCTTATCATCATCCTCTTCAGAATCACTTTCCTCAGGTAGCTCAATATCCTCATTGTTTGCAGTGACTTTCTGTCCATTTGACTCAACTACTCCTGCACTAACAAATCCAACTACCCGACTCTGTTCTTTGCTCTTTGTATCATTTTCAGGCGCTAACTGCCTTTCAAGAGCTGCCATCTCATCATCAGCAACACCAGCTTTTTTCAAAAACGTCCTTTGCTTCCTCAAGGGTCTGCATCTGATCCTTTTGCATGAGATACTCCGGTAGGATAAAATGTGTCTGCAGGTATAAGAAGCATGTCAGTCAGTACGGTCAATCAACAAATGCACAAATGTGAAAATATACAAAACTATTAAAAGGATGTGTATGAAGGAAAGTATGGGTCTACACCACAGGTCTGCCTTAAACCCATACTTATTTCCCTAAACGTGTATGAAGGAAAGTATGGGTCTACACCACAGGTCTGCCTTAAACCCATACTTATTTCCTGAACTTTTAGATGAATCAACCGATAGCGGATCATTTGAGAACTCCATGGAGCATGCTATTTGCATATTATTGTATCATTGAAAAACTAGCAAGGATGTTAACCAAAAACTAGAACTATAGAGAAGCTAACACTCTAGAGAGTGAGGGTTAGTGGAGTAAGACAGAACAGAGGAACTTCAAGCTTAGCTTGCAAAAGAACGATAACAAGTGAGATTGGATAGGTTTGGGGGTAAGGCATGGTAATTGTTAGAAAACTTGCATTAGATCTAATATTTGCCAGAAGTCCTCTTGGTTTGGGCTAAAGACTTTTATATCACTGAAGGGATATTGTGAGATTTAGAGAACCCTAAATTCGCCTTAAAAGACAAGTAATTGTTTTTCAATATTGGACTGCATGGACCAGAATATAACGGAATATGTATATAGAGGATTCTTACAACCCCTAGTATGAGATTAAGTATAGTTGACTGATTTGATTGATATAATATACCAAGTCCATGATAGTTCATACACTGAGAAGTTAAAAATGGTAGTTACTTAAGCTAAATACTACATTATGAGCCCTTCCTATTTTCAAAAAATTTCCTGGCATAAAACAGAAGTAGCTCTAACAGTAGGTTTCCCAGTGACCCAGTTTAATCAGAAGCAAGGTTGTCATCTTCCAAAGTTAATTATATGCCATGTTGGATGATACACATTGTAAAGTAATTATTTTATCCTGATTAAGTTCGTACTAGCATTCTAACCAGATTATTACTCTTCTTACACAATCCTTCCTATTAGAAGCCATCAAGTACCAAAACAATTTCCCTCCTCCGCCTTCTTTTATGCCGCAAGTACACTTTAATTCTTTTTTGGATAAACTATGCCACAAGTACTCTTTGGTCTTAATTCTTTGTGAGAATACGATTGAGCTCCTTAATTTACTGATCTCAAGGACATCACAGATGGCTAACTTAATGATTAATTGAGTATTTTTTACCTGGCTGTAGCTTGCAGATACACTCCTCTTCACACGGAGTATCTCGCGGAAGGTATCCTCGTTACCATGCTGCACCTCAAACTCATGCCACTTGTTCCAGAAATCAGGGTCAGATCTAGGGTCTGAGAATTGTGATGAGTGCTTGTACAGTGCACGAGCACGATCAATCGCTCCTAGGCTCTTCTCAAGTTCAGCATACTTTAAGCACATAACTTTCACGTCCAGACTCAATTGCTTGTTCATATATCTCCCGTGTTCTTGGATCACCAAATATCTCAGCTGCACGAGCTATATAGATCTCGTACATGCTCAATTTCTCATTTGCTGGAACAGCTTTTGTAGCTTGATCATAAACCCTCATAGCCCGCTTCGCAAGACCATAGTCTTCCTCTAATTTAGCATATTGAAGATACAGTGGCTTCACAGCATCAGCAGGGGTCTGGTGGGAATGGAAACAGTACAAGATGAGTATCCAAACATAGTTTGACAAACAGAATTTTCGGAATGTGCTTTAAGATGCAACTACGCAGACAAGAAGCAGTTAGACATTAAATGAGAGCCTCTGCTAACAGCATTAAGCAAAATTTCTCCCATAATTTGGAAGTGCAACTATCACCCAAGACATGGCCAATGTAGGATTCTAGACTAAAACAACAGATTTAAAATTTGTGAATATGTATAGTATTTACAACACAAAAGCATGAGTCTTAAAATATCTACACACTTGTCAATTTTGTGTGTGATTGTCGTTTTTCAGTAAATGCGTTCAACACATTTTTTAAATTTTTAAGTAATTAAACCTTTTACACCTATTAATATCGCATGTCTTGAGGCACATGATGAAGATAATTTTAATAAATCATAGTCTATTTTAATGAATTATATAGGTTTAATATATGCATTAAGCAACCTTTCAATGTTCTTCAACTTAACGAAAAAAACAATTGTTTCACAAAAGTAATGAATATGTATAATATTTACATCATAAAAGTACGAGTTTTAAAATATCATCACGTTTAACGCAAATTTCGTATATAACTGTCACTTTTTGTTGAACATGTCATCGTATTCATTAAACAAAAAAAATGCACTTTTTCATCCATTACAAATCATGTGCCTTGAGATACTATGACGAAAATGATTTCAACAATCATAGTATTTTAGATGGATTGTATAAATTCAATACAATTCATGATATGTATAATATTTACATCATAAAAGCATGAGTTTCAAATATATTCATGTTTAGTGCAAATCTCGTGTCTAACCGTCATTTATAACTAAACATGTTCAATCCATTCATTGAACAAAAACAAAAACAAACTTTTTCATCTATTACAGATTGTGTGCCTTGAGAGACTATGATGAAAATGATTCCAACAATCACAATTTTTTAGGTGATCAATTATATAAATTCGATACTATTCATAAATATATACTCCCTCTGTTTGAAAAAGAATGACCCAATTTCCTTTTTAGTCTGTTTTTAAAAAAATGACCTCTTTCCTTTTTTGGCAACACTTTAACTTTAACTTTCCACGTGACATGTTTAAGGCCACAAGATTAAAGAGAATTTTGGTACATTTGACATAACTTTATTTTAGAACCACAATGTCACACCCCTAACTAGAAAGGGGCAGACATCAAGGATATACATGAGCACCTGCTAAATATCTTACTAATCTCATGCCAAAACTGTAGATTCATAAGCAGCGGAACCTATATGAAGACACATACTAAAACATAGATAACAAAAGGGCATGTTGGGCTACTTTACAAGGGAAACAAGACTAAGTCTACGAAGTCTCTAAAGAGTATGCCTCTGAGAATTTGATAACTAGTCAGGACAGGGCCCCGACACACCCATTCTGATATATGTACATACATAGCAAAATATAGATTCTAAATATCTGATAGCTCCAGGTAGAGGTGGAGCTTACTAACTGTTAAACTGGAAGTCTCTAGTCTATTGAAAATGCTTGTTGTCCTGAGTACCTGAGCCTGTAGTGATACAAATGAAACACCAAAATAATAGGGACGTCAGTACATACAAAACATGTACTGGTATGTAAAGCAAATTAAGTAACAAGTAGACATCAAATATCATGATAGGCAAATCTGAGCATGTGTATGCAGGAGACATAATCCCAAACTGGAATTGTGACCAACCTCAAGCGTCCTCATCGAACGTTTCATGGCTTAGTCATTTATATATATATATATAATCCCTATAATTTGCTTAAGTGATATCTTTACTTTATTATGTCGCTTCTTTGCTCTTTGTAAAGCTAACTGTCAGGGAATCACATGATGGCCTACTGACGGCGATTAGTGAACCTTGTATGGCATATGTAGCCCACTTCACGACCACACGTGAATCTCATAGTCTGGTAACGAGGTCTATCAAGGTACCCCCCAGGGCTCATGTATGGTCTGCCCTCAGGCATGTATCAGTCAGGTGAATTCGCGACGGGAAATTCCAGCTGACTATATCTGAATTTTGTGCACAGAGTAGCGTCGCACGTAGTAGCCCTAAATATACCACCATACGCTGTAGAGTAGTCTATAATCTCAACTGCTTGCAATTATTTATAATAATTAATTCATTAATCACATAGCTCGTAATACAATTCGTGATTACATTCTTTAGCTTGAGAATCATATATCTTGTGACCTATGCACTTACGAACAGTCTGTGGCTGGCTGCTTTCTTTAAATTTATGCAACATGTACACCGCTAACTTCTAAGAGTTCCAACTGTAGACAAATGTAGTTTATGTGAAACATATTGCTTCCTTGAAGAGTACTATAACTCTATAGGTTTTAGGACTCAACATGAGAGGGTTTATAAAATAGGATAACTTTCTTTCAAGTATCATAGAATCTATAGTGCCATTTATCGGAAGAACATGCGAGTTTAGGTCGTGCTTTAAGGGAAAAAGAGGTTTTAGCTTTACATACCTTAATTCGGGACTTACTATCTTACATCGTCAAACTCCTTTGTTGAAAACTTTATCTATAACATAAAATCATAAAAGTATAGTATAAGAAATTAAACTAATTAAGAGTCACAACAATGCCAAAAATAGAATAATGGTTCGCGAGCGACAATCTCAACAATTACCATAGATGAGTGGTGTATCACCATACCCTTCTCTTTATCTACTTTCCAAGTAGGCTTGTGACTTATTTACATATTCAGTATTACTCCTCATCCTTTAACCATAAAGAACCAACCCCCTTAATCATCCACACTTAACATAAAAGTAAAACTCATGGCCTCCGATCACCATCCCACCGGTTCCTTGTTAACGATGTCAAATTCCTTTATAAGCTCATAGTTTAAGTTGGTAGAGAACTAATACCATAAATTAAAATAATAGGAGCTCATATAACCAACTACACCATATTCTTAGCGACTTAGGAATTTCATCAAACAGTTGGTGAGCGACAAACTTTCAACAACTACAATAGTCGCGTTCTCTATACCTTGCCTTCCATTTTAATGTAACCAGTTTACTTCCCCAATACAATACCATTGACCCCTCATTCGGTCAAAACAACAGCCAACACAACCTTCTACAAACTCCCTCCTCACTAAAACATCAAATACAATGGGTAAAACATGGACTCACGGCTTCCTATCACCATCCCGTGAGTCCTACCCGCAAATTATACTTAAAGCATCCTTGGAATACTATTTATGAAGATAGAAGAGGATTTATACCTATTTATTAAAAAAAAGCATCCCCTGCCCTTCTTTATTCTCCAAGAACAATACTTTTTCCTTCAAGAAAACATTTAGCTAAGTATATCTATAGGTCTATGGAGAGGAAGCCACTTGATTCTTGAAGAAACCAACTTACCTTAAGCTTTGGTGGATTGAGGATGAGAAAAACTTGAAGAAATAAATTGAAACCAGTCCTTACACGTTCTTGAGTATATGGGAAAGTATATCCCAAACTTCTAATATAAAAACAACAAGTTTGGCCGACTTTCTTTAAAGTGCCACATGTCCCGCAATGATTGGGCAGTGCGTGCGTCTGCCGTAGAATGAACATAAATTTTTACTCCGATATCGTTTTAATGAGCGGTTTGTTTTGCTGGAAACTAGACTCAAATACCTTCAATTGGATAGGTTGTAGGCTCTCTAACTCGTTGTATATTAGGAGATATGCCCCTTCAAAATTAGATGAGAAATGAGATCATTTGTAGTGTTCCTCCATAATGAACCTTTAAACTTTAATCTTTTCTTTAATGATCTCTTTGACCTAAAACTTTTGTTTAACCCTTCAAATGACTAAATATAAGGGTTACATGGCATGCTTAACCATTTTCAATGATATACCTCCCCCGATATCACATCTATGCATTGGTGTTTACAAGTCGCAAATGTATTTTAAGTTACGGGATATTACACACAAGATTAAAAAGTGTTTTTCCTTTCTTAAACTCTGTTCCAACACTACAAGAAATTTAACTTTTAATGACCACCTCTTAACGAAGGAATATAAATTTGGTCGTTATAGATTACATATAGCGACCTAACTTTTTTTCGGTCATCAAAACTCAAATTTTAGCTTAACATTAACCGGGAACATAAATCCATCATTAATAAAGAATATAATATCCAGTCGTTAGAGTTTAATATTGAATAAAAACTTGACCTAGCTTATTTCTCTCTTCATTTTTTCAACCCACCCTCCCCGTAAAAAAATCATAATTATATGAGCATGGTGAAGAATCACAAACGGTTCCCTTAGGGTTTCATTGAGTATATTTTCCAAGTTATTACAATTCTCTGTTACTTCACCTTTTGGGTTTTGATAATCTTGAAAGGTTAGTCCGCTCATATTTCTTTCCTTTTGTCTTAAATTTGATGTTGGAAGAATTTTTAGTTGGATTACCTTGTTCTGTTTTCTTTTTGTTGTTTCTAAGGACACAACGATCTGATGAGTATGATTAAAGTTGTATGCTGGAGTGAAATTTTGAATCCTTTTTTTTTATCGATTTGAATGGCTGCACAAATGACCTATATGTTAACTGATATTGTGTTTGATGGATTTCTTCCGCTTTTGCTGAATTTTCACAATTAGCAAAAGAAAGGCTAAAAAAGTTCAAATTTTGAATTTTGTTGTTTGAATTACATCAAGATATTTTATTTGTTCTAGTCATTATTGTACAATACTTGCACATGCTTCTCTGGTCAAAGAATTGATTCTATCTAATAGTTGATTGGTTTTGAGAAAGTATTGTCTTGTAGACTAAGATTTCATTGGATTAGTAGAAGAGGTGAATAAGTTGGTTGCTGAGTTGATCAATGAAGAAAATGATGAGTTTCAGTTAGTGTTTGTCGTATGTGGAATGGGAGGTCTAGACAGGAAAACACTTGCCCAAAAGGCATACTGTCAAGTTGATGTACTGAGTAATTTTTAAGATTTTACGCGAGCTAGTATTTTCAAACAATGGCAAGAAAGAGA